TGATGTTGGATCCTAGATCAACCAAACCATTACCAGTATACGTATCTCCAATGGTCACCGGTAAAACTACTCAGCCCGGATCGAACTCCTTCCTTGGGATGTTTTTTTGAATTATAGCGTTACATCGTGCATCAAGTAAAACTGTTTCATCTTCAGTATACCTCTTCTTTTTTGTGAGAATATATTTCAAGAACTTTGCGTATTTTGGCATTTGTTCTAACGCTTCGGTAAATGGAATACTAATTTGAAGTTGCTTGAGCATATCCCTAAACCGTGCGTAGCGCCTAGCATTGTCCTTCCTTGATGGTGCGTGTGGATAAGGTAAGTGTTGAACTAGAACATGACTTATGCCTTTATCCCCCCTTTTTCTGTTTTTCATTTTTGACTCCTTCTGAACATCACTTTTAGGATTCTGATCTTGCCCAGTTCGCGGCGCGAAGCTCTGGCGCGGCGCGACCTGAGAAGAATTTTTCTCTTCATCACTTTGAGCCTCCAACAATTCCTCCTCCTGATTTCCAGCTGTGACATTTATATCATCCTCCACTGTAATTTCCTCGTTTCCGTTGCTTGCCACCTTTTTACCGCTTCTTGTGGTAATTGCTTTACAATGTTCCCTCAGATTGGTTTGAGTGTTGGCGGAGAATGATGAACTTGCTTGTTGTTCCGCCAATTGTTTTGCAAGTTGGCCTACTTGAGTCTCCAAGTTTTTGATTGCTGCTTCATTGTTTTTTTGACTTGCCATGGAGGCTTGTATGAATTGTGCTAGCGTATCTTCTAACTTGGAACCCCCGCCTTGTGATTGTTGACTTTGTGTGTTTGGATTTTGATATGGACTTTGTTGCTGAAAATTTTGGTTGTTGAATCTTGATTGTTGGTAGCCTTGGTTGTTCCTTTGAAAAGTGTTGTTGTGTTGTGGAGGATATCTTTGGTAACCTTGACCTTGATTGTTGACATAACTTACTTCCTCTTGAATCGGGGGACAAAATCCGGTTGGATGATCTCCTTGACAAAGTTCACAACTTGCCACTTGGTGTCTAACTTGTATTCCATGAATCTCTTTCAATTGTTGTGGAAGTTTGGGCATTTGTTGTGTGAGAAACTCCACTTGTTGAGAGAGTAGCTTATTTTGAGCAAGTATGACATCGTTGGTATTCAACTCAAGAACCCCCGCTTTCCTTTGTGAAGGACTACGGTCGTGTTGACTTTGTCGATCGTTGAGTGCCATTTGATCAATAATGGTTTTTGCTTCCTCCGCATTCTTTGACATGAGAGAACCACCCGCGGTAGCATCCAAGAGTGTCTTTTGTGATGTTTGGAGTCCGTTGAGAAAAATGTGAATTTGTGTGAGATCATCAAAACCGTGACCTTTGCATTTCCTCAACATGGATTTGAATCTTTCCAAAGCCTCGTTTAGAGACTCGTTGCTTCCTTGTGTGAACATCGAAATAGCCGTTTTGGCTTCCATGAATCGGGATTGAGGGTAATACCTCTCTAGAAATCTTTCTTCTAACAAATTCCAATCCGTCATCACTCTTGTTGGTTGATCAAGGTACTACTCTTTTGCTTTTCCCACCAATGAATGTGGAAACATTCTCTTGAGTAAGTTTTCTTCACTTGCTTCATCTACTCCCGTAGAACCCGCAATCTCATAAAATTTGATGAGATGGTTGTACGGATCTTCATGATCCATTCCGGTGAATGAATTTGCATAAAGGAGTTGAAGGATTCCGGTCTTTATCTCCGTATTCCTTCTGCCTCGAGCAAATTGAGCTCTCCGCCTTGGACTACTAGCGGACATTTTGGTACGAGCGTTGTCACCCATACTTCCTTCAACGGTCTCTACAACTCCCTCTTCAATTTGAGTAAGTGCAAAATTTGATGCTTCTTTTCTTCGGTTCCTCTCGTTGGCTAGTTTCTTTCTTCTTCATGTCTTGCTATTAAGCCTTCAGATTGTTCTTTCAATTTCGGGGTCGAATTGAAATTGCTCCTTGGTGGCTTTTTCTCGCATGCACTAGAATCTACAAAACTAACAAACCAAGTGAAACACAAGAGTGATAGAAAAAAAATAAAACAAGAACTTAGAACAATGAATTATTGCAATGCATGTAATATCGACACCAATCCCCGGCAACGACGCCAATTTGTTGAAAAGTATATTTCTGGAAAATATTTTTAATATCGTATCCACAGAGATTGGTGTTATTACCGTCGTTCGATAATTTCGATTGTTGTAAGTTCAAAGGTATTCAAATTGTTTGTTGATGAATAAATTGTTCTTTTTACTTATAAGAAAAATAGGACAATAAAAATGGTTTTAGAGTAAAGTTTAGAAGTCTTGTCAAGATTGAGTTTCATTATCTTTGTTCTTTATATGTTCTTAATATCACATGCATGCATTCAAACTCCATTGATAATATTCAAGTGTCCTCTTAATAATATTTATGTCTAAATAAAATTGTGATAGTTACTATATAAATCCTTAGACGATCTCTCCATCTAACTATTGATATAATAATCTTGAATGCTTAACACAATAGAAAAAGTAGTGAATAAATCTATCTCTACAATTTATTCTCTACTTGGAAAGATATTTTAGTTCAAGAATCAAACTACCTTTCTCAACAATAATTCAATTATGATTTTGTAATGTAAAGAGAAAAAATATTATTCCTTATCAAAGATGAAGTTTGCTACATGCAATGATACAAATGTTACATAAACAACAAAAGATAACTACTATCTCAACCTTGCCAAGAAATGAAATTAGCTACTCATCATCTTCCTTGATTCCATAGAAAATTCTTCAAGAAGTTCTTCTTGCATGAAGCTTCTTCAAAGAAAACAAGAAAATCTCTCTAAAATCTCTCTAAGATCCTCTTACAAACCTAAGAGATACTAAAAATAAAAGGTGGAATGATTGTGTCTTACATGCAAGGAAAAAGTGCATTTAATAGACTATGGGGCGCCACCCTACACAAAAGTGGTTTTTCTTCCAAGACATTTATGTCCTTTAAGTTATTTTAAAATATCAAGTTAGTCTTTTAAGTTTTTTTTTGTAACGCTTTGGTCATTTATGTTAAGTAACGTTTGCGTCGTTGACCTTTTTAAAAATCTCTGTTACAATAAATTGCAAATTCATATACCATTTGAAATGATTTTTCGCGCTGATCACGAATATGCAATCAAATTTATCAAACAAGTTAGGGTTCATGAGAATTGAAGAAAAAGTGGACAAATACATAATGAAAAATTATTCGATTTGACCAAAATACACAATCAAACGCAAAACTAATTACACATTTGTGATTAGCGCGAAAAACCTATTCAAATGGAATATGAGTTTGCAATTTATTGTAACAGAGATTTTTAAAAAGGTCAACGACGCAAACGTTACTTATCATAAAGGAGCAAAACGTTACAAAAAAACTTAAAGAACTAACTTGATATTTTAAAATAACTTAAGGGTCCGTTTGGTTCAACGGAGGAGAGGGGAGGGAAGGGGAGGGGAGGTGAGGGATTTTAATAAAGGGAAGAGGAGGGGAGGAGAAATGAGGGGATGTATTTTAATTAAACGTATGTTTGGTTCATAAGAGCGAGAGGGGAGAGGAGGAAGAAGTTTTATTCAAATACATGTTTGGTTTCCAGGGGAGGGGAGGGGTTTTAAAACTAATTTACTTTTTTACCCTTAAAATATTATAACAATCATGTTAAATAAATTTTTAAAAAAAAGTATTCATAAAAAACGTAGATAATTAAACACAAAATATTTAACATTTAAAATACTTTAAAATATCTTAAAATGAAAAATAAAATATTGATAAACGTCATAAAATCAAATTATATCAAATTATATGATCAATGATCATATGAACCATTTTCTCATCTTGATGATCCATTTAATCCTATAACATATTTATAAGATTAAATTCTACATAATATATAGCTCATACTACAATTATATATTGATATGTAATATAATATAACAAATTATAAAATAATTAAGTTATTACAAGCAAAATATTAAATAAAAATAAATAGAATAAAACACATGGAAAAAAAGTTGAATTATAATAATAAAAATAATGGAGTTGCCATTAAACAAATGAATGAATTATAATAAGGTGACAAAAATTAAGGTATAATATTAATAAAGACAATTAAAAAATTTATTAAATAAAAGTGAGGATAATTTTGTCAATATAATAAAAATACATGTTATCATAACTCCTCTCCTTCCCCTCCCCTCCGAAAACCCCAAATTCGGGAAACGAAAAATTGCTTAAGAGATTCTGATTACCTCCAATCCCCTACTCTCTCCTTATAAAAAATTGAACAAAACACATCTATTTTAAAATTTTTCTCCCCTCCCCTCCAAAATTCCCCAACTAAACAGACCCTAAAAGACTAAAATGATATTTTTGTCTAAAAAATAAAATGTTTGAGATAGTAATATGAATGTCGAGAAGATATCTAATCGTAAATGAAATGAAATACTTCCTTCCTAATTTTTAAGTGTCACATTAAATTTTTTTTTTATTATTTTTAATTGTCATTTCAAAGTTCAATATTTTATTAATTGTGATATTGTTAATACTATCCCTAGTCATTTATTACATTGAGAAAAAAATTAAACAAATTATTTAAAAAATTAAAAATGTTATAAAAAAATTATTTAAAAAGTCACAACAACTATTAATCATTTTGATACGTTAAAAAATAAAAAATAAAAAATAAAAAAAGGAACGGAAAGTAATTTTGTTTTATTTTGAGAGGTTAATAATTATTACTGTTTTATTTTGAGAGGTTAATAATCATTTTTATCGTGAAATAATAATCGTTAGAAAAGGAAGAGGAAAAGGTAGTGGAAAGAATAATAAGCTAACTACAAAACTCAGACAACGCAATTTTCAGAGACTATCAGAACTACCGCTTGTACTTCCGCGACGTTTCTCTCATCACCTCCACCGCCGTTTACCTTTCCAATCGGTCTTCCACTTCCAATGGAAACCCCTACCACTACCGCCGCAGCCACCAAACCAATCCAGGAAAACCCTCTCGAAACCCTAGACCCCACTTCACCCAAACCCCACACAGATACAATCCCCGACGACAAAGACGCGAACGACAAGAAATCCATAGAAACACCGGCTGAAACCGAAACCGAAACCGAAACCGACGCTCCACTTTCCGATGTTCAGAAGAAGATGCGTCGCGCAGAGCGATTCGGTATTTCCGTTCAGTTGTCCGAGAAAGAGAAGCGCAATTCACGAGCCGAAAGGTATATAATCTTCAAATTTCAATGTTTCGTCTTCCACCGACATTTTTTGTTTTCTTCCTAACAAAATAACTGAATTTAAGGTTTGTTTTGATTGCAGATTTGGTACTGCCTCTGTATTACAGGGACCCGAGGGATCAAAAGCAGAAGATCTGAAAAGGAAGGCTAGGGCAGAGAGGTATTCAAATTTCCCTTCTAACCCTAAACCCTAATTCATGAATGTTTTAATTTGAAATTCTAGTGAACACTTTTACTTATTCTGATTCTTCACAGGTTTGGGATTCCTACTCCTTCTACAGCTGCTGATGAGGATGCAAAGAAGAAAGCTCGCCTTGCTAGGTTTGCACCTGGTTCTAAAATTGATCCTGCCGAGGAAGATAAAAAGAAAGCAAGAGCACTTAGGTGTGTGTTTTTGTCATTTTTTGTTTCTCCCGTTTCATATAAACAGTCATATCCCATGCCCTTTCCCATGCTATCCATCTTATTATGTCACTGTGTTCTTTGTTCCCAGGTTTTCAAAGTCATCTTCAACCACTTTGTCTCAAGTCAATGCCGAGGCAAACATTGAGCCTGTAAGGCCCTTTGGTGACTTCCATTACTTTTTGTTTATATAACTATGACAAAATTGCTTTTGTTTGTTTAACTCTTATGTTTGTTCTGTGGTTATAAGGCCCTTTGTTGATTTCCATTACTTTTTGTTTATATAAAGATGAAAAAATTGCTTTTGTTTGTTTGACATTTATGTTTCTTCTGTGGTTATACTATAAGGCCGCTATTACGGGTAATGCTGGAGGAGGGACCTGATTTATCAGCTTGCTTTTATTATTGTAGGATTTTTTTTTCTTGTAAGTGTTCTGCTCTTTCATTTTACTTTTGCTTTTGTAACTTACACATACCTTTAAGTTTGACCTGATTTTTGATTAAGATTTGTTTTTAATATGCCTTTTTTTTTCTTGAAACTTTCTGCAGTTATAGTTTTTAGCACTTCAATATTCAGAGTGGCTTCCGCACACCGTATCTACTTTTTGAACTTTTAATCCCCAGATGCATTTACCTTCCTCCAAGCTGCGAATAGATTCAAGTGTTCAGAGGAAGCTTGCTATTGTCTCGTCTCAGTATTGGATCTCTAGGTGATACCTTTGGGTAATTATTGGCCGTCTTCATAGTGTTACTTATCTTAAAATCAGCAAAGGTTTTAATATTAGAATCTACAGCCTTAAAAATTTAGATGAATGCATGTTTTTTTCTATAGGAACTTATCTGTTTATGGTTATCTTCTGTTCATGAAATGCTCATCATCACTGTGCCAAAAGGTAGTGCTAGATTGGTTTTACAGGTTCCATGTAACCCTGATCCAGAATTTGGTAATGTTAGCCGATGGATAACTTTGAAATAGGCCCTTCAATTAAAGAATAGCGTGCATAATGCAAGATGAACTTTTTTCTGGTTAGTGCATGACATGTATTTTGTGAGAGGTGGATAAAATTAGGTTACTCCATCTTGTATAAGTAATAAGGCTCACTCATGCTTTCTTTTTTAATAGTTCTAGGCCTAGTTTCTGCTAACAAATTTTAAAGGGAGAGTGCGAACATTGAACTACTGATAATTGCTGCATTTGTACTTTTGCATCTGAAATTGCTTTCCTTAATCCCTTTGTTGTCCTGAGTTTTTAGCTGCTGTGTTTATGCCCACTATTTCACTTCTATGGTTGTATCATGTTTGAATCATATGAAAAAAAGTGATCAAGGTACATTACATGAATCTGAAGCATGCTCTTTGAAAAAGGATCAATGTACTATGTGGCTGAATCCTGATGCTTTTTTTGTATAGGTGCTTAAACTTATTTTTTTTTAATTAAGGCTGTAGCTTCTAATTTCTATTACCTTTGCTGTTATTTTAAAGATAAGTGAACACTTTGAAGTTTTATGTCCGAAGTTGCCAACATACAAAATTGTATATCTGTAGTGCTGGATGTGGAGAAAACTCTGTAATTTGTTTTGTTGGCGAAACAGTTAGTACCTTGTAATCTATTTTGTATGGACCAAAGCTTGGAGAATATAGTATTCTGTTTCTGGGGTTGACATTTTGTGCTTGGCTGTACAAATGGATGGAAGGACCATTATTTCATGCAATACATTATGTGTCAGGAAAATTATCAATTGATTTACACCTAAACATGCTATGATTTTCATTGGTATAGTTGTTACTGCTGTTCTTTAAATTATTTTATCATGCCGAATTAGATTTAGTTGTTTCTCTAGATAGATGTTTAAATCCAATGTTAATTGACTTTTTTTTAGTATCTGTTTAATTATGTTACAAAGCTTATGTGGCAGCATATATAGTTAACAAACTTAATTTTCAATCTAATATCCGCTTATTTGGTTCATGAACTAAGCTTAATGAATTAATTGTTGAGTCAAGTATGAACTATGTTGGAGTTGTCTCAGTTTTTCTGAGTTATTGTGTGTAATACTTGTATGGTCTAATCCAAATCAGATTTCTAGCATTGTGTTGCACGGGATGAATTTGATAGATGAATATGTTTAGAAGTTGGAGTTTACCAAGTAGTTTTGTTGTTTAGTTTAACATGGATATTTGCAAAGAAATCTAGTTGAGTTTGCCATGTTAGGGTATAAAAAAGTTGTAGGATCCTAACATGGATTATAAGATCCTAATAAATCAACAAGATTATAGAAATAGCTGATAACCATAAAATTTTCATTAATTTAATCAAAAATAGTAAACAATTGATAAGAACGTTAATTGTTAAATCATAACTTTTTCAGTAGCAACTAAAAACATAATTGTCTCAAACACATTTTAGAAAATGTCATCTAGAGCATTGTTTCAACTATCATCTAAAATTTGTTGTTTAACAAGTCCCTCGAGATATTATGATTACAAAAGGTGTCATCCTCCAATTTTCATCGTCTTTTCCATCAAGCTTGTCATCAAGGTTATCAACCTCCCATTCATTTTCAAGGTTATCAACCTCTAATTTGATTTCAGTAGTGGTAGCTGCAACTCCATTACCTCCTTCATCTGTGACAACTATCAAATCAGTAGGTACAACTTCCAAATCATCAAATTCTATTATAAAATAGAAAATTTCATGATCAAAATCTTTATTTTCATAATCCAGACTTAATGTGCCCTATTCATTTTCTAGTTTTCTTCTTTTTGACCAATTTCAAATTGGTTATAATAAAAACTACACCATTAATTGGTAAGGATGAGTAATGATAAACTCTAATTCTATCAAACCACCTGAACTGCAAAAGTTTGAAGCTCTTATACTTGTCTCTGAATGACTCCCAGTTTTTAAGGATACCCATTGTAATTAGACTACCTTTTTTTTTGCTATTGTCTTAAAATTTTCAACTTGTGCATCAATTTTGTTATTTTCATCAATATCTTCAACCATTCTCTACAAGCAATCATACAATTAATGTGGTTGAAAATTGAGATAATAGCCTGCAACATGCATAGACCTACGAAGTTGTTTATCTATATTATAGAGAAAAATAATGAATTAGTTGCAGGCTGCAAAATGTAAAGCAGAGTGTACAACATAATGTAAAGACTAAAGAGTAGAGTATAATGTAAAGGTTGCAAAATGTAAAGAGCAGTGATAAATGAAGGGTGCAAAAGGTTAAGATCAATGCATAGTATAGGTTGCAGAATGTTCAGTAAAATGTAAAGAGCAACAAAATATATATTACCTTTTTTGGACACCATTGTAGTTAGTTTGAATTATTTTCTTTGACTTCATTCATTGTCTCATAGATAAATCTTGTAACCGACTTCTCATCCTAATCCACTAATCAAAGTACTTTTATTAATCGATAATCACTTTTCAAACCAGTGACAATATTTGTTCTCCATGATACAACCCAAAGTCAATATATTGAGTTATCTTCTTGCCATTTGCCATTGTTTCATGATGAACTTCTTTCATTTATCCATTAACATAGTTCCAATAGTTTTGCAATTGTTTCATGATGAACTTCTTTCATTTATCCATTAACATAGCTCCAATAGTTTTGCAATTTGTTGCATTTTTTATCATGATCTAATCTAAACCACGTTTTCCCCTACTTTCACAATCTAATCAATCATCTCAAATATTTAACAGTTGTTTTTGATATGTGAGAGACATATGTTGACTTCAAAGCAATATATTTACTTTTAATGATTTGTTGTCTTTTGCTTTTTGTTTCAAGTATTTGGTTTCTATGAAGCACAAACTCCGATACAGATACTGAAATACGATACGACAAAGACACTGATAATATCAAAATATAGAACACCAACACCTATATTATAATATTTGAGTTTATTTATCTACTATTAAAAAGGTTAAAAATATTCTAATCAAAATTCATGTGTTTAATTATTTGTTGATAACATTGTTTAAATACATGTTTAACTCATAGATGTGTGTGAAGTTTGTCAAAAAAATGTGTAAAGTATGTTTAAATACATTCATCTGAAATGACCTTGGATAATTCAAACATAGAAACATACATATATGTTCTGTCTTTGTTTCTGTCATAAAAATTACAGAGAATCAGTGTTGTACATCCTTGTTTGAGTTTGAGCTAATAAAAGCTACAACATGAGGCCATATTGGCAGAAAATACAAGATCCATACAAACGGAATTGCGTGCATTCATAATTTGCTTAGTTACAATTCAATTCTCTTAATTTCATCTATAAACCGAAATGCGTGATGACGGGGGTTGCGAGACAATCTGATGGAGTATTAAAGAGAAATCGTTTCCATGATAATCTTCAAGTTTCAATTCAACCACACCATAACCATAAACTATTTAGGAGACTGTGATGTCAAGTTACCTACCTATCTTCTTTATACAACAATTCTTGAATGGAAGATGCTTAGAGAGTTGTTTCATTCTTTGCACTAAAAATTGACATGCCTACCACCTTTGATTGAAAGAGGAGAACTACATAGTGAGCTATTATCGATCAGTTTACGATTTAGATATACAACGATTACAGTAATATCGTCATGGAAGTGTCTCCTCACTCCGTGTTCAATCTTTTGGAGATCTGACAATCTTATCTCTCTTTTCTTAGCTGCTTCTTTAAGCGCTGCTTTCACGAGTCTCCTTGCGATTCCCTGTTACATAAATCAATCGTAGTGAGAACGAAAAGAGCTTGTGAATAAGAAAACACGGTTGAGATATTCGAAAGGAAGCTTACGTTGCGTGGATTATTGCTAACTATATTGACAGCTGCTTGGTTGCTAAGTTGCTCCCATAAACCATCTGAAGCAAAGATGAGGAATTGATCTTCGGGTTGGATTTTGTGAATTGATACCGATGGTTCACTACTAAGAATCGGCTTGAAAAAGGTTTCGGGTAGTCTAAACTTTTGTGGCAGAGGCTCCTTGTTAAATTCGGCTTTCTTCAGATATGCATCGCCTATGGATCTTGAAACCTGTAAAAACAAGTTCTGTTAAGAAAGAATTGGAGTAATAAATTGTTATAAATTTTCCACAAAGGAATCAAAACATATGAATCTCTGAAGTTTCTACCTGTATGATGCCTTTCACGCGCCAAACCGAGTGTTTCATAACCACAATCTGTGGATCGTAAGGGTGCTTTGATCTAACATCGTCTCTCTCAGTTTCGATGTTAACATTGTGTTCTGCAGATAACTGAACAGCTAATGTTTCTTTTGTTCCCTTCTTCACTCTTCCTAACACCGCTCTCGAATCTCCTGCATTTGCAACATACAGCATGCCGTTGCAAATTATCCCGGCCAAACAGCATGTACCGGAAGATGCTATCTGTGGTTTTGTTAGCCACTGCTTCTTCACAAGAGACAGAAAATCATCTTCTGTTGCAGAAAATGCCCTCTTTATAACCTTTTCCGAAACGCCTTGTTCTTCAGCTGCAAAACCTGCTTCACACAGAAAACTTATTCAGCAAGTGTTTGAAACAGCATTTCCATGCTATTTCTCGCGTCCAGAGGCCGAAAAATCGTGAAAGCATAGAAGCTCCAATTCAATTGGAGCATCAGGCCAAACATGTTTTTTTCCTCTTCGACGCAGAAACAAGCAACCATCTATATATTTAGAAAATCACAAGTCTCACATAGACCCGGAAATAATTTTTAAAAAGTCACATCTTTCATCTTACAATTCGGTTTTGTAAAATGAGTTTATCAACCCGAGTTACACATCAAGCAAACAAGATATGGCAAAACTAAATTTCAAATATATCATATAAAAAGTTTTGAGAGCATACTCTTGAAATTGGAGAATAGATTCTCATTGACAAACTTGGATGCTGCAGGTCCACCATGACCATCATAAACACCTACAAAAGTTCCTTGAGGACCCAAATAATCCGAACTCAACGGTCCAGATTCAACCTGACTATGATCCTCCAATGAACTATTAGCTTGAATTACAGCCATTGAAAACTCACCATAAAGATGATTCCCCAAATCCTTATACCACAACAATCCATCAACTTTCCCTTTCACATCTCCATCATCACCCTCTACACTTGGTTTCCAGCATGATATAGTCATAATAGAATTTTTCGCTAATAAAATATTATTATCAATCTGTTGTTTTTGTTGTTCTCGGCTATTCTTCACACGATCTCATTTTAATAAATCTATATATATACCTATAAGAAATAATAGACATGATTAGATATGAACAAATTTGAGCTAAAAACAAGCTGGTATGGGGTGGAGTAATAGAGAAAGTTACCTTGGGATGAGAAATTCCAGTAGCTTTCATGCAATAGTTCAGAGAATACGCAAGCGTGTTTTGGTTCTTTGTACCTTGAACGTTAGATTGAATCGTGCATGTGGATTTAAAACTTAAGATGTGTCATATTACACAAACAGACTTAGCTGGAAAAGCACATATAGACTCAAGATGGCAGAGTTGGTCTAAGAGTTTAGTTATGTAAGAGAAACAATGATAAGAAAAGGGTTTTGGATTTTTTTGACAGAGGATCTTTGGAGTAGTGTCAGAGAGATCTAAGATCAAGAAATGAAAATGAGACTTAAAACTACAAAGTCTGACACTTATAACTCTCGTGCTTTTATTTGTCCATTAAATTACCTAGATCATAGACGTGACTTTGTGATTGTGTTGTGTGTATAAGTCTTTTGAGGGTGTGCAAAACAAACTACCGTATATAATATTTAAACTGTGACTAAAAATGACCCTTATTTGATTTAACACATTACAAACAAACGTGATTAACTTAGCCGGAATCTCAAAAAACTTAAGACAACTTTGCGTGTATGATATATGATACCTTACATTGAAGGTAAGTTCACGGTCTAATATAGACAATGCTGTCATATTTATATTTATTATTATTTTTTAAAATTATTATCGATATAGATGTATTATTGTCGGTGTGTCAAATGTCGTGGTGAAATTAGATCATATTTATCCATATGATTTTGATGTTTTTCTTTCAAGTGGGTTACATTAATTTTTTATGGTTGAGATTTGATTTGAATTTTCTTTTGGAAATGTTCTTCAAGACTATTATTAGGTAACTTGGCTTGTCTACAACTTCCACCTTCTATCTTTTCGATGGTTTAATTTTCGTCATAATTCAAAACTTTACTGGATCTAGAGTTAATGACTCACATGTTTCCTTACCCTCTTACTATAATTGGATTAATACATGCATTTGATCACTCAAATGTAATAATCATTTTCAAGATTTCTGTTAAATATCACTTTTGCTTCACTTGATTAGAAATTACACGAAAAAATATAGATGAGTGTAAGTATCTTTCTTGTTAATAAAATTACAAAATTATTTTTGAGAATGGTTCTTTAGAGGTTAAAATAACCAAAAATATATATTAAAACTAAAACGGTTTGATCTCGATGTATTTAATTAATTAATTCAATGAAATTAAATTTCTAGATGGATATATCTAGCTGGCATTAATGGCCACAAGTTCACTGCATCTTGGATCTTCATTTAAAAAAGATTATTGCTCAAATCTAGATTGTATTATATAAAGAATGAGCCCACTTTGATTTGATGAACTTCACCTAACTGTATGTTTTAGTCCAATAACAAGATTTGAAAGTCATGATAATGAGAGATCATAAGAAGATTACGAAGGCTTTGATCGTTACCATATACTAAAAAAATATGGTATGCAGATGAAGACACTTTGGAATTTGAAATTATGATAGCATTATTTGGATATTTGGATAACAATATACAAACTTGGATTTCTAATTCCTTTGCCAAGTGTAAACTTTTGGTCTTTGATTATTTGAGAGATTTGTAAAATTTATTATAATTAAAATTGAATTAAATGTAAAATGATTTAATGTATGTTTAAAATGTTAGTTTTTTTAATACCAATTATTTATGTTTAAGAGATGAAATTTCATCGGTTAAACTATTAAAACAAAACAAAGTTTGTTTTCCACATCCAAAACTATTAGAGAAGATTGCGAATAAGTTAGTTAATGTAGTTAAAGAGGTAGTTAGTATAATTAAGAAGTTAGTTAGAGTGTTCTAACTATCTTTTACATGAGATAAAGCTACTAAGTGATACTATTAGTATAAGTATGAGATCACTTTCACAACGTAATAGTTAACACATGATAATAACAAAATAGTGAAAAACAAAGCTTCACCAAGAATATCTTGTTATTAATTCTTTCTCTCTCTCACACACACACACTCAATGAATCATTGCTCAAACTCTAACATGATATCAATCACCAAGAGAGACTTGATTTCTACTACACAATCTTCTTCAACAACTCACTAATCATTGCTATTGTTGAAGATTCAAGCCTCATAGAAGATGAACTAGATCGTAGAAGTCTCAGAGAAACCTGCATTTTCAATTCTTCATTGTTATCGTCGACATTGCTAAAGATTCTAGCTTCATAGAAGCTGAAATGGATCATACAAGTTTAAGAGAAACATGTCTTTTAAGCTCTTCATAGCTCAGTCTTTTATGTGATTGGATGTTTAAGAGAAACATCAATGGCAGACCTAGAAAAATCACCAAACGCTCATCTTGGAGTTCAATCATCGCCTCAAGCTATTCAAACTTCATAAATCACTACGTTTTAACTTGTGTATTTAGGATATTCAAATAAATTTGTGTCGCAACTGTGAAAAACAACCGGCAGAAAACAGAAGAGTCGTCACCTTTCGTTATTTATCCCAAATAGAGGGAAAGGAAACGATCGGAAAAACCTAGCGAAAAAGGGAAAGACAAGGTCATCGCAACCAAGTCCTGGGTTCGGGAGTCGGTTACGCAAGGGGAAGGTATTAGCACCCCTCACGTCCGTCGTACTCGACGGGATCCACGCTTGTTGTCTATCTAAAGGGGTTGTTTATCTATCTACGCTATAGGCTTGCGGGACAAAAAGAAAAGAGACTCGGCAGAGCATCGCCGCTCTATCCCTACGTATTCCCTCGTGCAATGGGAAAGTCAGAGTCAACGTAGTTCGGCTAACTACGGGAGAGAAGGAGGAAGGTTGCTCGCTAAGACATCGCGTCTTGTGCCTACGTACTTTCATCTGGTATGAAAGATCAGAGCGAACGTAGTTTGGGCTGACACGAAACCACAGGTTGATTAAGTGTTTTATCCGAGTAGGGTTAAACATCCGTTCTAGCAGTTAGGGACAAAGCCTGTTTGCGGTAGAACCGAAGCTTAACAACCCTCTTTTCTGAAAAATTAGTTTGATTAATCCCGAAGGAAAAAGGTTTGAATTTGTTTTGTGTTTTTTAGAGAAGAAGTGTTTTGAATTTGAGTGTTTATAATGTATGTTGTACTAAAGTCTAGAACCTAGGATCGAATGCGTCGCATATCGTCCTAAGGACGTATACTAAACACTCTAGGTAATTGAGGAGAAGCCCCTCAATCACCATTTCCCAAGTATAAGGCTCATGGCACAATATCCATTATCTTCATTAAGTGTATTAAGATCGTATGAAGATGAGAAGAGAAGACGCACGGAAGGTCTAAGGGAAACTCGGCCCTAACGTTGTCATGCAAAGTGATCCTAAAGTTTGGATTGAAAAGGGGAAACATCTACCTTAATATTAGCATACTTGGATTGAACGCCTAATGTCTCTCCTACTCCCATCCTAAACGAGGGGACTAGGAATCCTATGGGGATCATGGCAAGAAAGCACAAGAAGAACAAAGGAAGAATCAATCACAAGTAGAGGAATGCAAACATGAAAATGCACAATTAGAATGGTGGGAGGTAGGAAAAATGTGTGGGGCAGCAGCCACCACAAGCGTGTCTCAACCTCAACAGCGATGCAAGAATGATGCAAACATGTGGGAACAATAAGAGATGAAAGCAAACGAACATGCAAACGAATGATCAATTCGAACCATATACACAAGCATGCAAACAAATGGAAGAATGATCATACATAGCAACAACATCATGATTAATCAATCACAAACAGTGACAAATAGCCAAAACAAATCAATCCTAATGCATCACATTGATCTATGATGATTCGAATCAACACGGTATGCGAACATGCAAACAAAACAACAAATATGGCATTCTGGCACAATGTTAATCGGTTAACACATACTGTTAATCAGTTAACACCTTAAAATGTTTGAAAAATCTAAAGTTTTGAACAGGTTAATCGGTTAACCTTATGCGTTAACCGGTTAACACTGTTAACGTTTAAAAAATTTTAAAAGTTTGAAATGGTTAACCGGTTAACCATATAGGTTAACCGATTAACACTGCACCAAAAGTGAAAAACAGCAACAGAAAAATCGCTTAATGCACAAAATCACTTAATCAAGTGATCCAACAGACCAGCTTATCAAATAAGCACGAAATTACACATGCAAACAAAAAACTAATAGACATGCAAACATGTCTACACAACACAATCGCAATTCACACGGATCGAAATCCACAAAAATTCAATCGAATATGAAAATCATCATGGAAATGCAAATAAGCTCAAAAATGTTATGGATCTAGAATCTCCAACCTTCGAAGTGGAGATTTGCTCCGGTTAGTGTTGATCTTGCTGTAATTGAGTAGTTCAAATGCTAGAAATCCGGAAAACTTTGAATCTAAGCCAATTGTGGTTGTACGAACGAAGATCCACCAAATTCGAGCCGAAACGCTTCGAATAATCAATTTCAACTCAAGCTCCAAAATCAGATCTCAATTTGCACGAAAATTGATAATGAAAATTGATCCAAAGATGAGGATGGATGAAGGTTTATGCTCAAGAATCCATTGATTTCAATGGAAAATCAATGAACCCTAATGAAAAAGAGATTTGAGTGTGGGTTTTGGCAATGGAAAAGTTGAGAGAATTTGAGAGAATTTGATCAATTCTGAAAAATGAATGTGAGAAATGAGAATTGGCTTATTTTGGTTTGGAGTAGATCACTTAAATACCATCTAGGTTTGGATCCCAAAGGTGGGGTTTGGACTTTGGATTGGAAAGTTGGTTTGGAGCTAGGCATGAGAATTTGGAGGGAAAATTGAAATAACCAACTTTCAAGAACATTCTAGA